ACCGAAAGAATTTATTATACATTAAATGCTTAGAATATTTCTAATGATTCATCACTGCATTCATTCACCAATTTACACTCTTTAAAATTATCCCCCATACGTTTCTTTTGTTATTCCTTGTCTAATAAAAATTCACATCTTTATTTTAATGACAAAGGATGTCCAATTTACATGCTAACCTTCTCATCTGATCTTGTTACAATGCTTATTATATAATTGGATCTTTATAGTTTCCTTTGTATCTAAATGAATACCCTCTTTTAACGTTTTATGTAAACCATTCCTACTTCTTTATACACATAAACCCTTTTGTAAAAAGGTTTTCCTGGACCAGTGCTCTTCCATGGTATTCTTACAACTGCCTTTGACTCACGGTCAAGCGATTTTCTACTCGTTATTCTTCAATAATCCCACTGATCAACTCTGTATTATATCAATAAAGCGGTAAATTTTACTCTGTGTCCTCACAACGTATATTCGATGTCTTCACAAGGTAAGCCTTTAATTAAAGTTCTGCTTGATCTTAACTCAAGGCTAAACCTTCTAAATCTAAACGATTCGATAAAAAGAATAATTTTTTCACAGCAGATGATATATTTTTGTCTAAGGTGTGCAACACTGCAGCACTGCACGTTGATCACTGCATTCTTCATTTTTGTATCAGTTCGCATTCTAATATAAATGAAAATTATTTTTTACGAAGTTGTTGACATGAGAAAAATAACTTAAGAATAAAGCAGATCGATAGCATAACACCAAATATTTTCCACGGACTGACTGTTGACAATATCAGTGGAAAGGAATTTAGAAGCTGTTATGCTCTTCTGGCGCGAAAAGTAGACAAATAGAATATTATTTGTAACTTTTCAATGATTTAATCAATAACCAAAGGAATGAAATGACACATGAGAATGGTGCATTCACTTACTCTTTTCATTTTTAGTCTTGTGATATCATTATGGGCAAGCATTGCAATGTTATTAATATTAATTGACATTCATCCTATTTAATGGCTGAACTTTTGTAACCGATGATCTTTGTTTTTGGAACAATGAAAGAGTTGCACGACGATAAGGTCCAAGAGCAACAATGGTACTTAGACCAGTAGCAACTAAATTCAACTGAAACAAAGTGGAATTGAAAACTTCATGAAACTTAATTAAATTTTAATGAAACTATAGTCCTTGATGGCGGAAGAAACCATAATGAAATAAATGCCAAGATTTTACCTCATAGAAAATATGAATCATTGCTTCCATAATACTGTAGAATGCAGTCCTTCGAAATTGATTTTGACATTGAACACAAGCGCAAATTACTGATATAAATGAAGCAACTGCAATGATTTTCTGTAGATTATTTCGATATATTGATTTTCCTAATTTTGATCCCAGTACATTATATATTATTTATATTACTAAGTAATGTATAGTAGTAATATATAGTAATATATATGTTACTTATTGATATAAGTAATATATAATGGTATTCAATGATGTTTCATAGAGAAACATACTTACTGCTCACTAATAAATAAATAAGCGGCAAATTATGCAATTATATAACGAAGTAAAGCTCACAAAAGCGGGGCAGAACGATGATTTCAGTGGCGTAGCTGTAAAGAACGAACGAAAATAGTCGTCTCTGTCGTGTTTTTGCAACATAAGTAGCACTGACCCCAGGTG